CGCTGGACGGTGAGTTTGAAGCCCCTAGGAACGCATTAATCTGGTTTTAATGCGTTTCTATGGGCTTTTTAAAATCACAGCGATTTCGCTGGAATGAATTAACGTCGTGATGCGAGGCACCACTGTACTCATATGTTCCATCTTTGTATATGTTGCAACTATACATTTTGAAAAATTATGTTAATCTTTGAAAACATCTTTGGTAAGTTTCCCTTTGATTTCCTGGTAGTGGCTCACACCCTGAGCTTCCTCCAGAACTACAGACTCTTTACATACATAGGTAATTTACAGTGGGGATGGGATTTCGGGATTTCTGAACTACAAATATTATTCTTCATCCTGGGTGTTCTACCTAACTTGCAGGCACCTTACTAAAACTTGGATGTGATACACCTGGGAGAAAGGCCTAAATGAGAAAGCTTGGAGACTCCACTAGGCCTGTTTCCCCCTAAAAGTGTCCTGTCCAGAAAGAAAGCTCCCACCGAACACCAAGGCATGAGGCATGAACAGGACACTTGGACAGAGCTTGGTCTAGCTGAGTTTCAGAGCCTTATAATTTAGTCCTTTCTCCCAGGTGCATCACATTCAGGTATTTTTGCAAAATACCTAGAAGGTAGGTAGACCTCCCAGAATGGAGATTCATAGTATTTGTAGTTCAGAAAATCCAAAAACCCCATCCCAGTTTTACAGAACAGATGTTAAATTGGCCCTGTGGCTGTGAGGCTGGTGTAGACCTGGTCAGTAATCTGTGTTGAAGATTACTGCCAGCATCAAGAACAGAACTGAGGTAATCTAACATTTTTTAGAAGAAGTTTCACCATGAAGATTTACATTAGTTTGAGCCCACATTGCTTGCAGTTTGATCTGTCAGTTTTTCATTTTTAAAAGGGTCTATGAGAGCTAGGTGGGCAGTCATTGTATTTAAGAAAATGGAACCAATAGGATTAATTATTCATAGTAAAGCCTTGTGACAGTGAGTGTTTCTACAGTTGTTCAATGACAGTTAATCCCATAGTTGCAGTAAGCGGCAGGTTGTTTCAACTGCTTCATGGAAAATAATGTTCTCTGATTATATATTGAGACAGGCAATATTATTACAGGACCTCATGAAGTCAGCTGCAACATGAAGGACTGGTTCATCTGATTTTCTTTCTATTACTTGCCTGCTGTCTAGTAGTGTGGTGTCCTTCTGTATTCTACAAAGGACATTGTTACTTCTTGCATGAAAAAATAAGTAGATACAGCTCCAATGTCAAAGATGTCTGCTTTCAGAAAATAATGGGAGAACATTTCTACCTCCCAGAGCAGTCAGATGCTGGTCTTACGTGCCTGTTCTTGAACAAAGACACTTCGCAGGGAAACTGAAGAAAATTTAGAACATTTTACAACCTCGTAAGAGTTTAAAGAAAACGCAAATGAGCAAACGGAAGAACTTGGAACAGTACTATACCATGGTTTTCCTAGGTGCCAAATGCTTGAGTAAACAACCATGGTTTAATTTGGTGTTGAAATAAAGGCAGTGTTGGTACCAGATGGACCTCCATGGGGAAGGTATTCTGCAGTTGGTGTCCTACAGTTGAGAAAGTCTTCTCCTTGTTCTCCATGTAGTGTGCCACTCTCAGTGATGTAATGCAGAGGTAAACATCTCAGGAAATCACAGTTATCAGTCAGATATATGTGAGGAAAGAGAATTCTTCAAAATGAATAGTTTGGTTGTTTAGGTATCTGGCTACAAAGCCAGAGGTTGAGAGTTTAATTCCCCACTGTGCCTCCACAACAGGAGCTGGACTTGATGATTCATAGGGTCTTTTCCAGCTCTACAGTTTGATGATGTTGATGATGGTAGTGAAGAATAAGAAATACCTAGATCCCACTCTCTTTTGGGATTTGAAACCATAATGGCAATCAGTAGAATTGTTTTGAACTAGTGTCATATGGGTTATGTTTATATACACTCCTGTCAAATACTGAATGGAATTTTAAAGCTCTGGTATTGTATTGTGCCATTTGTGCACGGCATACTTTACCTCACAATGTTCTTACAGCTTGTGTCAGTAAAGTTCTTTGCTGACACAAGCTAAGCTACTTCCTTCTTTTTATTTAGTTCAGAAGAGTTCAATCTGACCTATAACTGTGCAACTGAACCCAAAAATAGGCCATAGCTTTTCCACATAGTTGTTGGCTTGGACTGAATCTGTTTTCTTCCATTTCTCTCAATAAGTGGGTTTGTTTCATGCTGCTTATTTATTTTCATAAAGAAATCCATTCCTTCTCAGGATAGTGATTGTCCAAGTCATGATGGGTTCCCAGAGGAAGTCTCTAGAGTCACTGTTGGATTGAAAACTTGTCTGCCATCTTACCCTCAAATATTTTCCATACATGTATGTGGTGGGCTGTTTTTTTTTTCTTTCCATTTTATATCCAGAACCATGAAAACAGAGAATTATTATTGGTATGAAATTAGTTGTGAGAGGTATCTGTGGAACTAGTTATTAAAATAAATTTTAACAATTGTGGCCCAAGTGAGCTTGAGAAATGTAAAGAACTTAAGTGCTTTTCTTGTGTGTAAAATAAATGTCAGAAACACTACCCTTTAAACTGTCTGTGATATCAAAACAACAAAGAAACCCTGTTTCTATATTGCTTTATACCTTATCTTTGAGATATGAAGGATGAGGGGGAGAGAGGATGATATGTGAGTTAAATGGAGCCTATAATATTTTACTTTAATGGGACTAAAGGTTGTAAGAATATAACAAAAGGAATTTTCAGGCATCAGTTGGCACAAATCCATACAGTATGTGTCACACTGTACCCTTATAGCCTCCAGTGGAGCTTGTGGCTTTTTCCTTCCTTTTTTACTTCTTGCTGAGATGAAGTCATCCTGATAAAACACTCTCTTTTCTCCCCCCTCACCCACCTTTTTTTTAATCCACAGAATCCTTTATGTTTTTCTAATAATTGGCAGCAGAGGTACTATTCTCCTCCCTCCGCTGGCCCCCCCTCCGCTCTTTCAAGTGATGAATAGTTGGCCCTAGATCAAAGGCAAGCCCTAGCGGTTTTTTGGCTGCCACAAAAGGGCGTTGGAATTGGCAGAGCTCCCAGCTGCTTAGTGATAGGCGTGTAGACGAGGTGGGTGCCAGGCAAAAGGGGTCAGTGGCAAAATGTCTGTACACGTTCTTCATCTGAGATAATCTGGTTTCCTTTCTCTGTGTGTCTGTGTGTATTTCAGGCCAACAGCAGGTTGAAGCAGATTGAAAAGGAATACAGTCAGAAGCTTGCCAAATCTTCACAGGTAGGAAACAGGAAAACAAAATTAAAATGAGATGAAAATATTGATTCAAGAAGTTTTCTTTTCTTCTTTAAGTTAAAAATTAAAAGAGAAACTCACCATACTCGCTTCTGTTCTTATGATGTTAGCATGTAATTCCAAGTCCTCTTTTTCACCTCCAGACAAGCATGCCTTACTTCTGACAAATCAAACTGCCATTGTGCTTTATACACTTCCCCCCTTCCCCCAGTCATCAAGTTAAAGAAATGTATCAACCTCCAAGGATGGCAGCAATTTTTAAACAGCAGATAGTTAATTTCAGGTGAAAGATACCAGCTTGCACTATGGGTGCACAAGTCTCTGGAGGTATCAAAAGTGAAAGCATTAAAGCTTCATGCTGCTAGACTTTGTCTCCCTGGACCATCTGAGCAAACTTTAGTCCAGGGGTGTCCGACCTTTCACCTTCCCTGGGCCACATTAGAAGATGAAAATTTGGTTTGGGCCGCACACACATTTGGTTTGGGCCTCTTGATGGGGGCGGCCCTAGCTGTCCTCCGCAGCCCCGCTCCAAGCGCGCTTACTGGCAGCTGCGATCTCAGAGGGCAGAGGCTGCCAGCTTCGACTCCGGCAGCTTTATGGGGCCGGGAGGTGGTCCACCTATTGACGGGGACGGCACAATGCAGTCACCCAGCCCCCCTACCCCCTCCCCCCCCACTCCTCCATTCCTTCCCTCTCTCCCCCTCTACCGTTGTGATGTGCCCCGGCCACATTCTGGCCACAAGCACCGGCAGTGTAACTTGAAACTTTGGAATTTCTTTAAAAATAAAAAATTGCACTGGGCCGCATTACGAGCTGACCTGGGCCACATGCGGCCCTCAGGCCACGGGTTGGACAGGCCTGCTTTAGTCCATAGGATACCACCACCTTGTAGCTCAGTGGCAGGGCTAGAATTTTCTAGAAAATAGAGTAAAGAAACTGAGAAAGTCTTCTTCCTCTTGATTCCTTCACCTACAACTGTCCAGCAAAGAATGCTACCTGAATTAGAGCAAGATTGTAGAGCACTAAGGGCTGTAATTGCCCCAGGGTTACTTTTCCTCCTAGCTTTGAGAGCAAGGGACAGATCTTTAAAATATAGCTTCTTAGACAGTCATGTACTGGGCCTTGTGCTCTTCAATATTTTTATTAATGACTTGGATGAGGGAGTGCAGGGAATGCTTGTCAAATTTGCAGATGATACAAAATTGGGAGGAAAACAAAATTCAAAATGACCTTGATAGGATGGAGCACTGGGCCAAAAGCAACAGAATGAAATTCAGCAGAGATGTACAAAGTACTGCACCTCAGAAAAAGAAACCAATTGCACAGTTACAAGATGGGGAATACCTGGTTCAGCAAAACTACGAGCGAGGAGGATCTTGTAATTGTCATAGATCACAAGCTAAATATGAGCCAACAGTGTGATGTGGCTACAAAAAATCAAATGCTATTTTAGGCTGCAGTAATAGTATACTGTAGTTTCCAAATCCCACAAGGTGCTAGTCCCCCTCTATTCAGCACTGGTTAGGCCTCACCTTGTGTATTGTGTCCGGTTCTGGACACCACACTTTAAGAATGATGCTAACAAATTAGAACAAGTTCAGAGGAGGGCGACAATGATGGTAAGGGGACTGGAAACCACAAATGCTATTTTAGGCTGCAGTAATAGTATACTGTAGTTTCCAAATCCCACAAGGTGCTAGTCCCCCTCTATTCAGCACTGGTTAGGCCTCACCTTGTGTATTGTGTCCGGTTCTGGACACCACACTTTAAGAATGATGCTAACAAATTAGAACAAGTTCAGAGGAGGGCGACAATGATGGTAAGGGGACTGGAAACCAAGCCTTATGAGGAAAGGCTGAAAGACTTGGGCATGTTTAGCCTTGAGAAAAGAAGGCTGAGGGGTGATATGATAGCACTTCTCAAATATTTGATCTTGCCCCTATAGAGAAGGGCAAGATCTGTTCTCAGTCATCCCAGACTGCAGGATACGCAACAATGGGCTCAAATTAAAGGAAGCCAGATTTTGGTTGAGTATCAGGAAAAACTTCCTAACTGTAAGAGCAGTACAACAGTGCAACCAGTTACCTTGGGATTTGGTGAGTGCTCCAACACTGGTGGCATTCAAGAAAAACTTAGATAATCACCTGGGAGATATACTTTGATTATATTCCTGCATTGAGCAGGAGGTTGGACTTGATGGCCTTGTAGGCCCCTTCCAACTTCACTTTTCCATGATTCTATTATTGTGTGCTACTCTCAGTACAGGGAAGAAAATAAAAGAAGGACACTCTTTCTCCATAACTGGGGGCAAGAAAGTATCACTATACTCCCACCAGACCTACTCAGGAGTATTTTTAGTGCATATTGTATTCTTTAATGACAAAAAAGAGAGTACATTTGAAGGACAAAAGACAGAATACCAGATGTTCTATGAATAAATTAATTGATGAATGTACGCAGTATGAGATGTGTGCAAGCAATTCTCTGGATATATCCTAGGAAATATATTCATTGTACATTTTCATACCTCTGTTTTCTGTTGATCTGAGGAAGCTTTTGTGTGGGTTTCTGCATCTATGAAAGCCTTTTGGGGTTCACCTTTTTCTCATGGAGCATGAATTACAAGATTTAAATCCATCTTTAATTCCAAATTTCTTCACTTCGTTGGTGTTTTGCATCAGACATACAGTGTCATTTGCACATAATTTACGTAATGTTAATAATAGGCCACTTGTAACTTTCATGTGGTTGTACTACTGACAACATCAGCCTAATCTAACTCTGTGGTTTAATGGAACACTCACTTTTTAACACCCACACAAGAAAATAGATTCCAAGAAATTCTCTCTGAAGTTGAAACAAAATAAACAGTTACATTTTCCCGCTGAGAATTAGTGCCCAAAGCGTTTCCTTGTCTGTCTGTTGCTTTAAAAGTTTTATTAATATATTATTAAAGAAACTTAGTTTCTTAATCCAAAATACATTTATTTGATCCAGGTATACCTCCCTTTTCTATGTTACATGTTAATTGGATCATCCAAATGTACCCGCATTTCAGTCTTCAACATACATTCTTTAACTTGGTAGAACTGAGTGTGCTTTGTCAGACTGCATCCACAATTTACAAGGTATCCATCCTTAGTCATTCTTTCCTTGTGTCAGCCTGGAATGGCAGCTTAACACATCATTGTTCCAGGATAATTGCTGTGTGTATGTGCCTGATCTATATGCCCAAGATGAGTTATGTCAGTTATTGAGGGTGAAAAGACAGCTCTATGATTATTGACCTTGGTGTGTTCTGGTCTGCTTTCTATTTTCAAGAAAATACTTCCCAGAATTTTTCCTGTTAAAATATGTTATTGGAACAAATACTTGAGAATTTTAATTTTCCTTTGAATTTTTCTCCTTGCTGTGGTACTGGCCAAAGTGGTCATTATATATCTTACATGTTTTTTGTCCAATGAAGACTCCAAATCTTGCTATTGCAAGCAACAATTTGACTAAATATCTTAAGTGATTTATCTTTTGCAGAATTACTCCTTATTCTGTCCTGTGAAGTTCAGTTGGACTTCTAAGATTATGATGATGATGATTCTTAAGTAATATGCTGACTGTTGTGGCCCTTGATAGTAAATACTTGGGCACACATCTTTTGTTGGACTTTCACTCAGAACTGGATTTCTTTCTTTTTTTAAAATATTTTTTATTTTTATAACTATAACATAAACATAAAATACACAAACCAAAATACAATTTAACTGTGCTCCCCACCACCATAGATGGGACCTCTTGCTGTAATCTTCTTCTTCCTCCATCTATATTCTTCTTCTTCTTCTATTGTCCTCTTCTCCAGAACTGCATTGATTCCTGATTTGGAGCTTACCCTTTTTCCTTATGTTAAGACATATTCCAAAAATCTGCCCCATATTTCATAAAAATTCTTCTTTTTAAACTCTCCTTTCTTAACCTTTAAATAAACAAGTTAGTTTATCATCTATAGCTATATTCCATATTTCATTATACCATTCATCGATTTGAAATTCAGATTTTGATTTCCATTGCCTGGCTATTAGCAGTCAAGCCGCTGTTAATAAATTGGTTATCAATTCTTTAGTCATCTTATCATATACCAAATTCTTAAATATTGATAACAAAGCAATCTCGGGATTAAATTCTGTATCTTTTTCACATATGTTGTTTAATTCTTTAAAAATTTGTTTCCAAAATCTTTGCACTTTTTCACATTCCGATCACATTTGAAAGTATGTACCTGTTTATTTCTCACATTGCCAACAACCATTCGGATAAGTGACCTTAATTTTATTTAATTTTATTGGTGTTAAATACCATCTTAGACCCAGTTTTAAAAAGTTTTCCTTTATTCTCACTGACATAAATCTTAAAACCCTCATTTTCCATATCTTCCTGCACTCTTCCTCATTTATTCTTTTTCTAATGTCTTGTTCCCACACTATCTTCAATCCTTCTTTCTTGCTTTTTTCTTCCTCTAAATCAAGAAGTCCCTAAATTTTACTCACTGTACCCTTTACTGAATCGGTCATCTGAATGTCTTCATATGATAATAAAAATTGTTCATACTTTGTGCATTCTCTACCTTTGTTATATTTCTTTATCCATTCATTAGTCCATTGTTAATTTCACTTATTTTATATTTCTTAACCATACCAAATAAATATTTTTCAGTATTTACCTATAATTCTGATGATTCCCTTTTCCACCAAATTAACCTTTCTGGGTTGTATATAATTTCTCCAATAAACCTCAACTGATTAGCCAAATTATAATTGTTTATATTTGGTACACCTATACCACCTTTTTTGCTGTTTTATACCAATACTTTTTATTTATTCTAGGTCTCTTCCCTTCATTACAATATTTGTTAATCATTCCTTGCCAAAATTTCAAATCCTCCTCTGTTAACTGTATTGGTAACATTCTAAATAAAAGATTTAATTTTTGGTAAATGTTTCATTTTTATCAATGCAATCCCTCCAAACCAAGAATGTTTAAAATTACTATATTTCTGTAATTTCTTTTTAATTACTTCCTTTAATTTATTATAATTATATTCCTTCATTTTTTGAATATTTTTTACTAAATGCTTATGTAAGCATTTAACTGATTTACATATCTTAAAGTCATGATTCTCAACAAACCTTTCGTGTTCTGATGTATTATGATTAAACAACATTATTTCAGATTTTTGCCAATTTACACTAGATTTCTTTCTGAGGCCCTACCATCTGTGCTAGAAGATCTAAACCCCCACTCATATGCCACTCAGCATGCTATACAGTGCAGTAGGCTATGGGTAGAAGACAGAATTTGGCACAGCCAAAGCTCTCCAGTATGTGTGATGTTTTTGGATTCCCAGTCATATTATATGATGGAAACACAAATTTCACTATCTCAAAGCCAAAATTCCCAGCTTTCCTCAGAAGTGAAGACATTTTTATTTTTTATATTTTAATTTTCTTTTTTTTGGTGGTTACTTCAGAATGTTCTGAATGTTCTCTACGTGTCATAATAAGTGTGCAAACAAGTGTTTAAGTGCTGGATTTCAGAATCACTTCACTGGAGTGAAAAAAATTTAAACTACATTTCTCCTGTTTTCCATATAACAAATGTGCTTTGTTCTGGTGAGTAAATTATTGAGGAATTTTATAGTGGAAAATTCTCCAATAAATTTTTACGTTCAGCAGTTTTATGCTCTTCCGGTTGTACTGTATTCCTTCTTTCCATTAGCATTTTCTGCTTGCTAGCATATAATATGTTAATTTAAAGTATTTAGTTTTCACAATCGCATTTGCCGAGTCACATTTTTTGTCAAGCATAAATACATGCAAAATATGTACTTCTTTCTGTAGTTGGAGTTTTAGCATGCTGTTTTCTTTTTAGATCATAGCTGAACTTAAGACAACCATTTCCTCTCTGACAGAGGAAAGCAACCAGCAGCAGCTTGCTGCAGAAAGGCGTCTGCAGGATCTTTTACAAAAGTCTGAAGATCAGAAGCAGCAGCTGATTAGAGATAATGACAGAGCAATCAAGGTAATCTTGGGCTTTGAGTCAATGATGTACCAGCTGTTTGAGCATAATTAAAAGTTTTGGAAGTATTGGCTGTGGTCCTATGGATCCATGTAGCTTTCACACTCTTGTAGCATTTAGCTTTTCTACTTTTCTAGACACAGTATAATTTTTTTATATATTGCTCAGATATTTTAGTTCCATTGTCCATTTTGAAAAGCAGCCAACCTGGTTCTGACTGGGTAAATTGACGCTCCTGATAATATTTGTGGAATTGGAAAACACCTGCCAATTCAGTTATTTTGTTTGATTCAGGTAAAGGTAAAGGTCCCCCTTGACAATTGTCCAGTCATGCCCACCTCTAGAGGGTGGTGCTCATCCCTGTTTCCAAGCCATCGAGCCAGTGTTTGTCTGTAGACAGTTTCCATGGGCAGATGGCTATCTTGACTAGACACGGAGCGCCGTTACCTTCCCACCGTGGTGGTACCTTTTTATCTACTTGCATTTTTACATGCTTTCAAACTGCTAGGTTGGCAGGAGCTGGGACAATCAATGGGAGCTCACTCCATTATGTGGATTCGAGCTGCTGATATTTTGACCATGCAGGCTAGAGGCTTTGAGGTTTAACCTGCAGCGCCACCAGCCTTTAAAAAAAGGTAAAGGTTTTCCTTGACATTTTCAGTCCAGTCGTGTCCGACTTTAGGGGGCGGCGCTCATTCCGCTTTTCAAGCCATAGAGCCAGCGCCTGTCCGAAGACAGGTTTTCCGTTGTCACGTGGCGAGTGTGACTAGGGAACGCTGTTTTACCTTCCCACTGAGATGGTACCTATTTATCTACTCGCATTTACATGCTTTCAAACTGCTAGGTTGGCGAGGAGCTGGGACAAAGTGACGGGAGCTCATTCTGTTGCGTGGATTTGATCTTACGACTGCTGGTCTTCAACATATGTGTAAACCTGGCCTGGCAATTGCATATTGATGCATAGATGAATATACCGTATTTTTCGCTCCATAAGACACACTCCTCCCCCAAATAGTGGGGGAGAAAGTTTGTGCATCTTATGGAGTGAATACAGTTAAAAAAAGGGTTCAGCCACCACCACCCAGAAGCCTTCCACTGCCATGCTGGGAGGCCTCTGAACTGGCACCAGAGACTGCTTGTTGTTTGGACCTCACCATTCTGCACTGCTGGCTTTCCAGGATCTGCTTCCTGCAGTCCACCTGGAAAACCAGCAAGGCCAATAGCAGTAGGCAATGAAAATAGGCAAGGACCAAAGGGGGGAAAAAGAGTGATTCTAGAAAAACCAGGAGAAACCACAAACACAGTTCCCCACTTAAGCAGTTGATTTTCCCACATTTGGGGAAATCGTAGGGGTCAGCACATCCAAAGTGCAATAGATGAGCCTTGCCCTGGCAAAACCACTTTTACAATAATGGTATCTCCCCTGCCAGGTATAAGTTGGAATGGCCCCTGAAAATTCTTCCCCTTTCTGTGCCCTATCCCCCAAAGGCAAGGTGACCCGCCGGCTGCACCTCCTGATCA